TTTCCCCAGCTTCCATACTTCTTCCACCTCCCGTGGATCACAGTGCTCTGCATTTTCTTAATTACCTATCTGCCTTCCCTATTAGGCTTTGCTCCCTAAGAACACGGACTGCGTTTTACAAAGCACCAAGCCCCCATTTAACCCAGTGGAAAAAACCACAGGAGGTGCTCAGCAAAGTGTCTCTTAAATGAATTATAGAAGAAATAATTTCTGAATACAGGCCCATGATTAAAGACTAGGCAGTGTTCCCAGTAGTCAGTTGTCAGGTCAAGGGCAGCTTGCGGGGTTTGGAAACCCTGAGTCCCATGAACCTGTGTGGGACAAGTAAACATGTATTATTCATGGTTAGTAGGAATCACAGTCTTTCAAAACTTCAAGACAAAAGGAAAAACTGTCCCTGGGCCCTGGTGGCGCAGGGCAAAAGTCTTCATGATGCTGATGCTTAAGATATATCCATCTTAAGCACACTTGCCTAGGTAGGTGGAAGGAAGCATCACAGTACTGTGACATTGGAAGTGTCACCTCCCTTTCCCAACACCTCTGTTTCCACATCTGTCCAAAAGCCTTAATTGTATCTGACCTGCCTCCTTTCGAAAACTTGGTGCTATCAGAGGAGACTCAGGACACTGAAATTCATCAGGTGGTGATATTTTTGTTTGTGAATAGTTTTTGTGTGTTTGGGATCCTGATTCTTGGCTGAAATGAAGAACAGAGGGTTGTATATTTATTAAGTTTCCTGGAATTCCAAGGAGAAAACCACCTGAGGGTTGGCTCATCCCATGTACAGAAACGGAGGGTCAAGGGATTGAAGGTCATTGTGTCAGTTCTGCTGGATGGAATAACCCAGTAAGAGGGAAGAAAATGAACCTGTGGCATGACTTAGATGGGTCTGCTTATGACCAAGGGGTTATGGTTCCTTTTTTTAGAACATCCTGAGTTAATAGAGGGTGTTGATCTTATGGAATGACATGATAAAGCAACATTAAATGTTGGCTTTTCTAAAGCACATTCAGTCATGGTCACTCCCTCACTCAGAATCCTTCACTAGCTCCCAGGAGTCCTCAGCAGGGTTTCCCAACCAGTGTGCCACACGGGGAGGGGGCGCGGGTGAGAACATGTGACAAAATATTTATTCCCTCAGCTGTGGGTTACCTGGGTGGTGTCTTGGGCAGCTGGAAATCCGTAGGTGAGTCTTCTAGCCATAAGCCACCCAATGGGTTATGAAAATATCCTTTTCTATGCAGGTAATGACTTGAAAATGGTAGTATAGCACCTGTTTGGCATAGATTCAGGAGCCTTCCTGATCTATTCCCTGCTCACCTGTTCAGGGTCACATCTCGGCATCAGCCCCAAAGCATTCTACATAAACCATCTTGCCAGTACACTCTTTGTATCTCCCAGCCTTGCCACACTGGCTGTCTCCTCCCTCTATGCTTTTATCGATATTGTTTCCTCAAATACCCGCCCTGCCACCCATACCCACACACACAATCTGTCTAACCAAATGCAGCCCAGGCTGACCTCAGCCTCCCACCTCTGAGTACTATTCGTTATAGCACATACTTTTAGCATTTGCACTCATCACATGCAATTATGATGATATGAGTATCTTATGGATTCACTTATCTTGGTGTTCCTACAAAAGGCCTGGCAAAGATTGAATGTTGCCCTCCAGTAAGCATATGCTGAAATATTTTGAATAAAGCTCAGGAAATTGGGGCAAGTATGAAAGAAAAACAAGTACAAGTGTATTTCTGTTAGTATGCACTTAGTAGATACATAATAAATAAATAATGAATAATAAAAGAAGTGGGGTAAAAGCATTGTAAGTGTAGAATCTGTGAGTCTCAGTAACGGCTTGACTCTAAGACAGAAGGAAGATGAGTGGTTGGAAATGTTTCAAGACAAGTCACGCCGTCAGGACTGAAATCGTCATACAACTTTGGAGGAAATTCAGGAGCAAAGCTTCCATGAGTGTGCCCAACAAGCCGTGAACTGGCATGTGGATATGTACTCCAGCACTGATTTTAATAGCAAAGGCACAGGATATAACCAAAACACGTCCTTCAGTAGGGGAATACATAAGTAAACTATGGTATATTTATAAAGTGAACAAAGAAATGACAACAAGTAAATGTTGAAATACTAACCTGATTAAATCATATAGCCATAACAGTGTGTGGAAAGGCAATTTACAATAGGGAATATGAAATACACTAAAAACACCAAATATTGCTTGCTGTCATATGTAGAGAGAGAAGAAGACTCTAAACCCACATATAAACATGAAACACACCACCACAGGATACTGGTTGCCTCTAAGGAAGATTGGTAGTAGAAAGAGACAATCTTTTGATTACTCTGCTTTTTTAATAGCGAATGTGGCATTTTATTGTATCTGGGTGGTGGGTATTTTTTACATTAGTTTCTCTACTTCTTGTCAAAATAATTCATAATTTTAAAAATTAACCACATGAAATTGAAGGCTGGGTAATTGGGGAAATGGTCTCCCATTTCTGCATTTAGTCCTAGGTGCTGGACCCCACCCCTTTTTCAGGTAGCCTGGCAAGCAGTGCTGAATTGCACCTGCCACCCTTTGCACCATTTAAAAGCATCAATTCTCAGCTTAGTCTTCAGAGACTAATAGATCTACCCCGGACTTCTGTAGAGGCTTCAGAATGTACATTCAAATCTTTCATCAGTATTTATAGCTTTTACCCTCCTCCCCCATTTTTCTGTATATTGGAGTATCAATCCAGCCTAATTTGAATTAGTTTTTGCAACAAGATTTAATCAAATTCTCTTCCACACATTGAACTAGAATCTATTTTTTAATCAATCACCAGTGACTTACATCACTATATTCTCTTACATTGTAACTTGTATTTCTTTCCTCACTCCCTAAAAGAAGCAATCAAATAATATGTTTGTGATCAAGTTTACTGTTTCTTAAACTGTGTCTGTTTGGGGAATGATTGCAGTGGTGTGCTGGAGCTTGTGAGGCTCAGGAGAGAGAACTCCGCACTTCTTTTCCACTTCGTGTTCAAGGACATCACAGTGCTGGTTTGAAATGACCCAAAGTGGGAGTATTCACACCATGGAAATTGGCAAAGGCTACCAATCAAGTTGTTTAGTTTTTTTTTTCCCAGGACAGCTGGTGGTTGATTGTTATCAGCTTAACACAAGGCAACATGACAGTTTTCTGAGTTGTGGGGTACAAGTATCATTTTCCTTCTGTTACACTGTAGAAACTAAATCAAAAAAGAAATCCTGACCAGAGCCCCAGGGCTGCACAGTGACACTGTTGGGACTCTGGAGTAGCAAAAGAAACACTGGCTTTGAAATTAGGCACATCTGAGTTTGGATCTGGTCCAGCTGCTTTTTGAACTGTAAAAGGGACAAGTGTCTTAAGTTAGCTACTTCATTTCCTTCCTGATAAAATAGGATGGCAAAATCTACTTTATAAAGATTTGGGGTCATTAAAGAAAATGGCATGTGGAAAAAAAACCCAACAAAGCATAAAGGAGATTTGCAATAGACATAATTCACCCACTGACTTACAAATTCAGATCTCTGTCTATTCTCCCATTCTTCCCATAGCCGTATATACATTTTATTTCAACTCATCTGACCAAACACCCTTCTCAGTGGTGAATATACTTTGTCCAAATGCATGCCACTAGAAAAAGAAGAAGTCTTATTAGAGTCTATATTTATGTCTCGTTTGGGGAATCACTTTCATTGCTAGAATCTTAGAAGTATGTGTACTAGATACCAACTAAGATCATTTTTAACTGTCCAGAGTTTCCTCCCATGACCATTCTGCTGAGCCAAGCATTCTGACAAGGACTGATTTGGAGCCCCATGGGTGTAACAATTCCATCCTCCATATTGATGCTGTGGCCTGCAGGAAAATGCTCTTCGCTTTTCATGTTCTGAGTCCTGGGCCACCCTTGGACTGGCCTTGTTGTAGACAACTGTTTCTAAGTCACTCAGCTGAAGTAAATTGCACTCTACCTTTTTAATTGTAACTGATATTTTGTGGATACTTAGTTGTCTTAACATTTTTAATAATATAAAAGGATAAACAGTGGGCATAGTCTCCCTGTAACATGAACTATTCACTCTGGTCCTTCCCCACAAAAAAGTAACTGTAAAAAGAAAGGGACAAGGAAGAAGAAACAAACACTTCTTATTAGTTTCTTACAAACTCAAAAGCTTGGAGTTTGTGTTGAAAGATGCATTATTACCCCTGCCTTCCTGGGGATTAAGCTATGTGCTGATTGTCAGTGAACCCTCTTGAAGTCAGAAACACTGAGGCAGGCCCACGTGACTGCTCAGTAATTGTCAAGCAACCAGGAATGATGTAAGCAGCAAAATCATGGAAGAGCTACTTTTTAATCTTTAAAGATAAATGATAAACATTGTATAAGTACCAGGTATCAGCTAAAGTAAGGGTGCCGTATCTCTAGAGAAAAACAGGAGAGACCCTAATGCCGGGCATAGCTAGTGTGTTTATTATTCTGTTATTGTTATAATAAAATAAACCTAACATGAATTTCCTTTGTAACCACGTTTACCTATACAGTGCATTGGCCTTAAGTCCATTCACACTGTGCTACCATCACCACCATCCATTTCCAGAGCTTTCTGATGAGCAAGTGTGCTCATCTCACTTAATCTTTGCAATAACCCTTAGGGTTTGTGCTACTTTCTCATACCAAGGTGAGGATGTTTCAGAGGCTTGATATAGTCTCACACTGAATACCTGGCTGAGCCTAGGATTGAACCCAGGGTGTGTTCATCTCCAAACTATATGCCCCACATGGTAAAGCCCCACTGGCTGAGATTTTGGAGGGAAAACTTACCTGTCACCATGATTAGGCCTCCTCTGTGCCCACACTGCTCCCAAGAGACTGCGCTGTATTGCAGAGGTGTGCCTGACTGTGTCTCACTGTTGGCTTTTGCTCCTCTGTCCTCTGTCCTATCCTGTTGCCCAGGGGTGATTCTACTGCTTCTGGATAAACTGCGGAAGATGAAATGGGAGCAGATGTGGAGGCTGACAGCAGAAAGAGAGCTCATGGGTATGCTGTCTACATCCTTGGCTGACCAGGTGAGTAGCCTGAGTGCCCTTGTGTTAGCACATAGTGTGTTGTCACTACCACAAATACCAGAGGCAATCAAAGTAGAAGGAGAAAAGGATTTTTGTTTTTGTTTATTGTGTTGTTTCAAGACACTATGTAGCCCAGGCTAGCCTCAAACTTGCAGTCCTCCTGCCTCTGCCTCCTGAGTGCCGGGATTAGGCCAAAAAGGTTTATTTTGACTCATAGTTTTGGAGGTTTCAGTCCATGGTCAGTTGGTCCTGTTGTTATTGGACCTGCAGCAAGGCAAAAACATCATGCAAGAACACACAGAAAAGCCGAAGTACTCACCTCATGGTTAGGACACAAAAGAGAGGAAGAATAAACTTGGTTGCCACAGTCCTCCTCAAGGGCACATCCCCTATGACCTGAGGATCCTCCACTAGAGAAGTTTCACCACCTTAGGAGCTGAGCATGATGGCCTAGGTATCAATACGCCTATAATCCCAGCTGGCATAGGTAAAGAACCTGGGTCTGAGGCTGGCCCCAGATGAGATCACAATACCCTATCTAAAAATAACTAAAGTAGAAAGGGGCTGAAAGTGTGGCTTAAGCTACAGCAAGATCCTAAGTTTAAACTCCAGTACAGACAAAAAAAGAAATTCCACACCTCCAATAGAAAAAAAAGGAGGATCAAATTTTTAACATATAGGTGTTTGGGGGCTATTCCAGATCCACACTATAGCAATTGGTGTGTTCCTCAAGGAAACCTGAAAGCAGATAAGTCTGAATTACTTTTCTACCTATTGTGTGACTCTACATAGTTGGATTTAGTGCCTCCCACACTTGCTGGGCTAAGCTAAGAGCTCTGCTCACTTGTTCATCCTCTTGTTCATTCATCTGCTCATTCAGCAGATTTCCACTAAGCACCATATACAACAGAGCCACGTAGAAGAAGGATGACATAGATAAATGAAGGACACCATCCTTGACCTCAGAGCTCATAGTTTATTAAACAGAAATGTAAGTGGATGGCAGTCTGCTGTGTTCAGAGGCCACCATCTTTATTGCAGTGTGGAAGCACCTACTCCCTGAGGACCCAGAAAGCCAGTGTATTTCCCAAACAAGATTTCAGTTGCCTCTTTGGCAAACAGAGTGTGACATTACAGCCAAGCCTCATTCTAAGACCTTATACCAGTGACCCTGAAGCTCAATGCAATTACATTGAAGTAAAAAGGAAAACCTCTTGACTCCGGAAACCTTCCTTTTACTCAGGAAGTCTGACAAACACCTTGAACGTCACCAAACTCTTAACAAATATTCATCAAAAACCCACTTCTCATTGGATGCCCTGGAAAGGCCAGGGCTGCCATCTTTGACCTTGAACCTACCAGGATCACTCACTGAGATTTCATTTTGCTGTAGTATTGGTGGCTATCTTGAGATGTGAAGATGATTTTTCTGGGTTTTCTGCATTTGGTCCTTGCCTTTTCATAGAATGAGGGAACTTACTTGCCACATTTTTTGTTCAGCATTCAATTGCCTTCTTTGTCAAATTCCTACAAAGTTTTCTAATGCAGAGGAAATAAGAAATTCTGCAGGGTTACTTCACTATGTTTTTTTAGCATTACTATTCACTGTTTCCCAAGGAGCCAGAAACTGATTTTCTTTTCTACACAGTGAGATTCAGCATCATGAATGAGTTAAATAAAAACAAATGACTCAGGTGCTATCTTAAACCTGAAGGGAAACTTGTCTGCCATCCTCATATTTTAAGTCAGGTCACAATGACTTGAGTGTATCCCCAAAAGCTAGCAATTGTATGTCCATATCCAGTGAGGATAGTTTGTTCACTCATCTTCTGCCAGAAAGGCCCATAATTCACCCCCGGCACCACCTGTCAGCAGCTAGTTGATAAGTACGACCCTGTGTGAGAGTTTGGAGAAGAACCCAAAAGAGGAGAAACCTTCCAGACAAGTCAGAGTTGGATTTTCAAAATATGGAGTGTGTACTCTGGATGCCATGGCCTGCAGGAATTCAAGCAACATCCATCACCGAGCCCACCAAAAGCCCCAGGAAAGAGCTACTGGGAGGGACGAACTGTAATTTGTCTCAACCCTTTGGATGAGTTGAGCCACTTGTCATCATTCAGGAGGCTCGGGATGGGTAACATAGGGCTCCTGGATAGTATGGGATGAGGGGAGGAAAAGATACTTTATTTATTATATGCCCGTGAGCACAGGAAAGTTGCTCCCAGCTCTCTAGGGGATGCTTTATGTGACCAGCAGCACTCATGAGCACCAAGTCAGTCTGGAGCATTCTCCTGTCTCTGTCCAAACATTATTGCTCTGTTCTTGTAGATAACAGGCAAGAGAAATGCCCACAGAGCAAGCTTGCCTGCACCTACCACAAGATGCTTAAGAAATGCCCTCCCCCATGAGAATCAAAACTGTAAGTCGAACCCACCGACCACCCTGACTGTGTCTGGTTTTCATCCTCCAGGATATCTTCAATGCTGTCATCAAACAAAATCCCTTCCTTGTGTATCAGCTCCCCTGCTTTTGGAACGTGCAGCTGTCGGACCACACCCGATCTGAGCAGTGCTACAGAGACGTGTCTGATCTAAAGGTGGGTCAAGATGGGCCATGCTTGGGACATGGGTCACATCTTCAGAGGTGGGGCAAGGGCCCCACAGTGAGCAGAGGAAAGCCAGGTCTGGGGGACCTGTCGGGGAACAGATGTCTGTGAGCATGTGTGCAGTGTGGTGAAAGATAAGGCCACAGAAAAGCAAAAAGAATATGCTTTTCCTCTCTGGGTTTTTTGTGTATATGCGTATGCCATGCTCTTGTTTAGGCTTTCTAGAAAGGAAAAAAAAAAAATCCTTGAGTAAGAACCAGCTGTGTGGTTATTCTTCTTGCCATCTGCTGCCAGCTGTTTTGGTTCATGTCAGCTCTCCACATCCATTCATTTACCTCACGTGAAAACATTGATGGACCTGTGCCAGGTGGTGTAGATATGTATGTGAACAACTTCCTACTTACAAGTCACTCATGGCTTAGAGGAGGAGAGAAACGTATAAGGAAATAGGGATAAAGGCATAACAGTTGCAAGCATAGGTATGGGAAGTCAGAGCAGAGAATGCAAGGGTAAATGTCTCAGTCTACCTCCCAAAGGACAATGACAGGAAAGCCTTTATCATGGCTCTGTAGGTACCAAACACTGTGGTAGGACCTGGCTGGAAAAAGATGAAGCCAGAGTGTATCCATTATGTTCTCCTATAGATAACCCTGCATAACAAACTATTTTAATTGTGGCTCAGATCACAGGCACTTACTTAGTTGATAAGCCTACACACTGGACAGTTCTCTCATTTTCTCTGGTTTAGCCAAGTGGCCATGGTCAGTTTCAGTTTGGGTGGTTGGTGGCTGAGGCAACTGAGCTGTTCTCCATTGCCCCCTCTGTACCATCAGCAGGCTTGGCAGGCTATGTTCTGGGAAGGTAGAAGTGGAAGAGAAAACCCTGGTACACAAAAGGAAACCTTGAGTCACTGCTACTAATGATCAACTGGTCAAAGTAATCATAAGTCTACTCCCAGTGTTAGGAACGTGTAAGAATCCCCTAGCTACAAGGGGACAAGAGAAGAATTTGCTACAGCAATTAAGCGATGAGACACAAATTTGAACATAGTCCTGTCTAACGCCAGTGCCTTTGCCTCTGAGGTTATGTCAGGAAAGGATTAAATGCATGCATCCCTAGAGAGTTTATTTCCTTTAAAACTTTTATTCATTACCCATATGACACTACAGAAGCAATAATTGCAAATTTTTTTAAAGGACACAGCTCTTAAGCCTTGCTTTCATAAAAACCAGCCGTTGCCAGTTGGCTTCTGGTCCATGTCCACATGTGCATCCTATGTCTTATTTGTAGTCTTAATGCGCATTGAATTCTGTTTTCTGCTTTTCATTTGTTTTATATCATAAGCACTTTCTGGGTCAGCCACATTTCATTAGTAAATGTCATATCCACCGATTGCCTAATAATCCATTGCTTACCCATCATTCCCTTAACCTCGGTAAATGTTCACTAGTACAAACTGTGTTGTAACAAATGTCTTTTTCCAAAATATCTCTGTCATCCTTTCAAAATATTTTTGTACCTTCCCTTCCCAGGAGTGACATCACAGAGTCAAAAAGAAAGAGAAGGTTTTGATTCTGTTTGTCTTATTTTATTTTTCACTATACTACAAGTTCATTGCAAAATATTAGGAAGTATTTGAAGCAGAAATATCTATATCATTCATTCTTTCAACACTTATGAAACACTTATGTGTATTTCATGTGCTTGTTAGACATAAGGAAAATAGGTAAAAGAGACAATATTTCTAAGAAAATTGTAAACTATGAAGTTTGGAGGGGAAGAAAATAAAGCCAGCCCTGTAAAAAACATCTGAAAAACTCTTTTTACAATATTTTGAAAGCGTAGTTGATCTGTCCATAAAGTAAGTAAGGACTGTAGAGACCAGAAACAGTGGTAATTTGTGAATCCAGAAAGGTCAGCAGAGAGCAGCTAAAGAAGGCATTTACCCTGGGGGTGATCTGCTGATCCCTGGTGACTAAGAGTGTGGTTTAAAGGTAGGCATGGTATTCATAGCATAACCATTTAAAAGAAAAGAAAGACAATAAAAGCATAGAAATAGAGACAGTGGGGGAAATAGCAAGAAATCTACTTGCTAGAAATAACTCCAATTATATCAATAATCAAATAAATGTAAACTAATGTTGGTAATGAAAAGTCAGATTTTCAAATTAAACATGGGAAACTATATCCAGCATATGCTGTTTACATGAAACATATGTAACCAGTTGCAACTGTCAATCTTTGATGACAGTAAAAGTATGGAAAAAAGATTTTCAAGGAAATGTCCCAAAGAAAGCTATGATGACTATAGTGATGGCATATAAAACATTAGGAAGGAAAGAGATGGTCACAACTTAAAGAGTTTACTGGGAAGATACAAGAATTGTAATCTTTTATACATCTCATGCTATATCACAAGCATCTTTATTTAAATATATGCACATGGAGACATATACATATTTATATATATTTTAATATTTTATCCACATATTCAAAGCTCACTAGAATGGCAAAGAAAAGAAATGGATGACTCTACTATCATAATGGAATATTTTAATATATCCTTTACAAATACCAAAAGTTCAAATAGTCAAAAAAAAATTAATAAAAATATGGGCAATTTGAACTACATAGTTAACACACTTGATTTATTGGACAAGTAAAGAACCCATTCTTCACAATTAGAGAATGGGTCTTGTTCTCAAGCTCATACTGAACATTTATTAAAATATAACTATGTACCAGACCAGAAAGCAAACCTCAGTATATTTTAAAGATTCATATTTTACCATAGTGCTCCTAAAAAAGTACAATTAAATTAGAAGGCTATAACAATATGATAAAAAGCATGTATTTGATGAAAATTGAGGACCACTTCTAACTTCTTCATAGTTCTAAACAGAAATCATAATTGAAACTGATAACTACCTAGAGACTAGATAAAAATAAAACAGTACATGTCAAAATGACTGGAATGAATAAACATGTAGGAAAATATATAACATTAAGTGTTTGTATTAAAAAGAAAATTAATATGCCAAGTTTACTACTTAGGATGATATATTACAGACACTAGAATAAATTCAAAGGGAATAAAAGGACATAAAGAAGATAAGAGCAGAAATTGATTAATAAATTATTCAATAAAATCAAAAGTTAGTTCTCTGAAATGGACCAATAAAATAGGCAAAGCAGTGGTAGGACTCATCCAGGAAAAAAAAGAGAAATCATCAAGAAATTATTAATATGGCATAAATTCAGATTCATTGACTCACTCCATAAATGTTTTGAGCAAGTCAGTCTTCTGAGTTCTAGTACACAAAAAAGATTAATGTAAACAAACACTTGCTTCATGGAGCTTTCAAGCCAATAGATAAAGAAGAATTGTAGAAGCTAATCAAATACTGTGAACATTATGTCAATAAATTTAAAAACGTATACAAAATGGACAAATTCCTAGAGATATAAAGTGTACCAAAACTAATTGAAGTGAGAAACTACATATGTGGATTGTCTTCTAGCCACTAAACCTTCTTTTCAAAGGGTATTTCCAATTTCAAATGAACAGTTCCAGAGAATAGCAAAACAGGAATACCTTTTAAAGAATTCTATTAGTCCAGGATATCCTTGATGCCAAAATTAGACAAGGAGAGTTATATGAAAATTGCAGGCCAGTTTCACTCCTGAATATAGATATAAAAAATCTTAAGCAAAATATTAGCAAGTCAAACCCAGCCATGTAGAAAATAGATAATGTATCATGGCCAAGTTTGGTTTATTCCAAGAAAGACAAGGGTGATTTACCATTGAAAAAATACGCAAGTGTCATGAGCACGTTAACGGATTACAAGAGGAACACCATATGATCACCGAAATAGATGTAAGAAAGTTATTCAGGAGTTAAATGCTCATTCACATTAAAACCTCTCACAAGTTTAGTAGCCAAATGATTAACAAAACAGTGGTAGCCCAGGAACACTCACACATCCATGAAAATTTGATACATGAAAACGTGGCATTGCTGAACGCTGGAGAAGGGATTTAAGTGTTCTCGAACTGGTTCCAAGACACCAGATTATCCACATGGAAGAAAAAAATTCAAAAGGTTCCCTGACTCACACCATGTGCAAAATTCAGTCCTAGTAGATTAAAGACTTAAAAGTGAAAGGCCAAATTAACTTTTATTTGAAAGGGCAGTCCTGAGACCTCAGAATAAGTAAGAATTTATCCAACAAGACATGGGGACCCATTCCAAGTTAGCTGATTGTCAGTTAAAGCAAGAATCATAACCAATGTTGAATTTTTTCTTTTTCATTTCTAGGCCAGGTTCTTTGAGCTGCTGAGGAGTAGTATATTATCTTGCATAAGCCACCCTCATTATGCATCTTCTAGGATTATTATAACTCTTTCCTTAAAAGTGGAGATAGAATTTAAGGACTCTTGCAAAGCCATGCAAGAACAGTCTTTCTTCTACTCTTTGCCTTATCCACACCTAATGAAAAGCAAACTTTTTAGGGCTTCTTTTCCTGGAGTTGTTACAAAGCACTCAACCACCTTTCATAGAAATAACAATTCTTCTTGCACTTATATATCATTAATTCAAAGAGTGTTTCATTAACAGTAATTACATTAGAAACACAAGAAATAACACCTTTGCTAGCCAATACAGCTGGCTTCTGGTGACAGCAGAACTCAGTATATAGGAGCAGACGCCCTCCACATCCTTCTGAGGACAACTCCCCAGCCTTGGCGTCTCTTCTGCCCTGGGTATCAGCCGAGACCATTGTGAGGAGGTTGGTTAAGAGAACTTCAAAGAGGAAGTTCATGTAGGAGGCACAAGTGTAGGAGCTTGTGGAACCAAGTGAGTCTGTAAGTACTGATGAGGATCCTACTTTGTTACCAGCTGAGGGACTTGAATAGATCACTTAATGTCTCCCAGGTTCAGTTCCGTTCTCATTAAAATAGAGGCCATTGTTCTTGGCCGTATTCTC